TATCTCCCGTGATGTGAATTTACCAAAACGCCCTTCACACTTTGAAATTTGTAAAATATTCGTCGTAATTCCGAATTCAGTTCCCCTTGCGCCTACGCGTGCATACCGTCAATTACTTCAAGGATACGCAAAATGAATCTTTTGTATCTCTCACTATGCGCTAGTCAACAAAAGTCAACAATTTGACCTTTAGGGTATTTTCGTCAAATCACTCTTTTAAAATTTTTAAAATTGTAAAATTAGTGACGGGTTATCACACGATGCCCTGAGCCTTAGCATGAATATATAGTCTTTATTTAATTGCTTATGATATTATGCATGCATGTTTTGAATTATTAATTACTGTGTTTAAATTGTCTTTATGTCTTAATGATTCGCGGCCATTAGGATGTTTAGATAACTGGATGCAATTTCTATTGGATGTCATCCTGAAATTGAGGAATGCTTTCTTGTTGTTAATAATTGTAATTTCACTTAGGATGAACACCACATCATAAGTGTTGCATGATTTTTCAAAGGGTTTTCATAAAACTTAATGAGTCTTTCATGTTCATATTTGATTCGAACGTTCAGACGGGTTGCATGTTAGATATACGTTCTATGTTAGAGGTTCCAAATTGGACATATATTAGGAAAACCTGACCTTTGAAATATGCATGGGTAATTCGTAAGCAATGGGAAGAACTATGTAGGATTGTTAAGGCAACAGCGGAACACCTCTTTTTTCATTCAGGAAAGCAAACTTCACATCTAGCTAGAACAAACTCCATCCCTTTTGTGCTATCAAAGTTCTAAATTGGTGCAAATGTTTCATTGTAGTTGATGAATCAATATTATATCATATATTTTACCATATTCTTAGTTATATTTTATTGCTTATTTTGATAGAATTTTGATACTTTATTATGTATTTTCAATATAGGATATGCAACTCCCTCTTGAGCATAAAGTGAACAAATCGACGAATTTTGGAGTGAATCCAATTGGAGGATGTTTGTGAGTTTTTCAAGATGATTGTGTCAAAATTCTAGATTTTTCTATCAAGTCGTTTGGACGGCAGAGAAAATCAGACTTTTGACCGATCAAATCAACTCCGATTTAGTGTCAAAAGGTCTCTTTTGAAAGCTGAAGACGTCCCCAACTTTAGCTTTGTATGTTAATTGTTTGAAAACCTAACTAGCTAGCGTTTGTGATCAATTAAAATATGGATTAAAGCACAATATGTTATGGGACATGAAGTTTGGACACGAGGCGATGTGTATGGCTACGGCATTCTCTTATTGGAAATGTTTACAGCAAAAGGACAAACAGATAACATGTTTCAAGGATCTTCAAACCTGCATAATTTTGTTAAGGCATCTGGTAGATATTGTCAATCCCTCTCTTGTTCAAGAAAATGTTGAGGGTCATCTGATGAATGCTAGCAATCACATTAACGAGAATATCACCAGCACTGGCATCTAATTTGAAGAAAGCATTGTTTCGATTTTAGAAATCGGCGTTGCTTGCTTTGCGGAGTTGCCTAGAGAGAGGCTGAAAGCTAGTGACGCGACACAATTGCGTCAGATCAGAAAGAAACATACTGAGCAGCATTGGCATGTCAAGTTAGCAATGTTTCTTATGTAAAACTAACTTTTCCTTCGTATTTTATTTGATCAATAAACATATAATTACTATTTGCTTGCAGATAACAATCTTTTCCCTTCGATCAATAAAAACAGTATTACTCAAAATCTTTGTAACTACATTCTGAACCGGAACCCTTCTCGCTTTCTACTGTCAAGCTAAATTACCTAAATGCGATACACATCAAAACATACATTTCCAACATGTAAATGAAAATCAGGAGTTCAAACTCGAATAAGCGCAACTCAATCATCCTTTCTTTTCTTTATGGGGAATACCAAGCAACGACCTTCCCTGATCGTAAAAGTCTCAAGGAGTAGCTCAAGCTGTATATGAAATCCTCAATACATGGGGCATGTTTCCCGCTCAAAGAGTCAAGTGCAACCCTGGAATCCGCTCTAAAGACAATTGGCCCATAAATCTACAAAGGAAAGGTAATGTGTCAATAACAATTGGATTTTCTTCCCAGTAACCAAAACATTCACCCCAGCCACGCATGTTAATAGCCATATAAAGGAGCTCAGCTTTTCATCCTCTCATTTTAAAGTTCTACGCTGATCTAATAGTCGTACATAAAAACACATGAGCAGTAAAACAACGTACAAATACATCAGCAGAAAAATGACTGCAGATTATCGAAATCAGACAGGGCAGACACGTTTCCACAAGAACCAATTAGCAAATGACTATGCAGGTTTTGTAACACATTGTGCATAACTGCATATAAAATCTCTCTTACAACTTAAGGTGTGAAACATTTAAAAAGTTAATGAATAAATAGAAATACCTGCTGCTGAAAGATTAGATTGATCCTAGGGGAGGACATCGGATCTTTTGCACTATTAGCTGAGGAACTCTTCAAACCATTAATCACCCTTTTATCCAAAGCTGAAGCTGAACAAATATCCAGACAAGCATCAATCCTAGTCAGATCATCGTAGAGCTCTCTAAATTTTCCGTGCTGGAAAGTATAACAGAGAGAGCTAAAAAAATCAGCATGGAATGGACTTCTCTTCTTATTGCTCCTAGAATTGCCCTCGTCTCCCCTCATATCAACTGCCACTGGGTTATACCCATCCTGAAACCAGGCGGTGCAGCTTCCACCTAAAATGTAATGCCACCATTGACCAGATGAAGTGAGAATGGCATTACAATTTCATTTTGCAAACAAAAGGGAGCTATAGCACTAACAATTGACAATTATAGAATTTCGTATCTGGCCTTCCCTGGGGGCAAACATCAGGAAATAGTTAAAGTAAAAACCTAAAGATACTGCATACTGTCGGCAACGGATCTCAACTCATAAACACAAAATAAAAATATTGAAATGTTCTGTTAGAATTTGTCTCCAGAATTATTTTTTATTACTATTATTTTATTTTATAGCAGTCACACCTACCACCACGGAACACCATGAAAGGAGGTGACATGCTCCTTAAGTCTACTGGCTTTTAATATACTAAAGTAGAAAACCTCACACATACAATATAAACGAAACTAAGTGGTACCAAAACATGTATACATGTATAAAAACATGCAAATGTATAAGCTAAAAATTATAAGATACACCTGAGTATTGGTATGAAACTTCCAAAAAAATGTAACAAGATAATACAAGTTATCACAGAAAATATGAGTAACGTGTAAAATTACCAAAATTTCCAGATACTGCAGCATGAGGTTCTTTAAGACGCACATCATAAGATGGCCGCCAAAACCAACCCTTTTCTTTCTGTATCATGATGTCTTTTCGTGTCTCATTTTGGCTCCAAAGATCTTGGCTTTTTTTCATAAGAAAAGGCAGCCTTTGCGCAGCATCCAGGCATTAGAGAAGTAGGTGCCTCATCATCTATGGAATTAAATGCCTGGGGATGACCACTGTTTTTATGTACACCAATGTGGTACCGCAATCCAGATTCGGAGACAAGTGATGACATACTTAAGGAAATTGACTCAGGGACATCCCAGTATTTTCCTTTATGGCCAACGAACAGTTCAGGCCATGCAGCCTCAAGTGTAATCCCAACTTGTGCTCTGCTAAACCTGATAAAGCTTTGATGCTCTCGAAAAACATAAGAACCCGCTTGCAAATCAGTAAAATAACAAGGCAACAAAAAATTCATGCTTTATGTGCTATACCACTAGAACTAGGCAAACAAGCTTTGTTCGGCTGTCAAGCCTTCCACTCAAGCTCTCTTTCTCACATCAAGTAATTCACCAATAACCCAAATTTTGTACAATATACCAACATCTTCCTAAATGTCAAACAAAGAACAAACCAAACCTAGAAGCAGAGGCTCCTTAGCAACAATACGAATTTGGAGACCAAAAAAAAAAGTTCATTTCTCAGGAAACAGGAGACAAATTATCTTTCCTAAACTTTTTCCTTTACCCAATTCAACCCCATAACAACAATTTCAATTGCTCTTCTCTCCCAACCTTCCCGGCAACCAAACAAACAACAAACGAATCACACCCATTTTCCATCACTTTCTCAGTAACAATACAAACCACAAACCAATCCACGGAAACACGTAAAACGAAAAAGAATATCCATTAAACGAAAAATAATAAATTTGAGAAAACCCAATGGGCAATAGCTAAGCAAAGAAGTTGTAGCAGTCTACCAGTTAGAGGTAGGTGGTCTGAGCAAGAGGGACTGGAGAGAGAAAGAATCCAAGTCCCTGTTAGAAGTGGGGGAGTAGGAAGGTATAACACCCAAAGGGAACCCATTTCCCAGAAGAGAGAGTTGCTGAATCCCAAGGGCTCGGCTGGGTCGAGCACCGTCGAGAGGAAATGGGTCGCCGGGAACGGCCTTGGCGGAGCCCTCAAAGGTCTGAGGCGAAGAAATGTTCAAGTCCCAGAAGGCCGAGTCCATTGCCGTCCTCAGGTTCGCCATTGTTGGCTGTTGAAAGAGTGAGGGAGCGCGAATTCTTTTTGGTTTCGGTTTTTGGGGTTTAAGTGGTGGGTTTCTGATGGTTTTATTTGTCTCTTCCTTTGGGTCCTTATCTGTCTTGAAATGAGTTTGAACATGATGTATCATCTTTGTAGCGTTTCGTGCTAATGATATAATATTTTGTAGAAAAAAACTTATGAGTCACAATTGTTTCATTGGCTTGAGACTCTACCATGTTGATGTATCACTGTCATAGAAGTACTTTGCGAGAAAGAGATTGGTGGTTGAGAAATCCGCAAAATCCACCATGGTGTGAAAGGAGAAGGTCGTGATAGTGCTCATATGTTATGTATCAATGAAGGATGGTACTAGTTTAAGGGAGGTGAATAGGTTACAATTTAAAATTTTAATGTCAATTTCGATTCTCATATTAATTTTCACATCCACATCATATGAAATATCTTACATAATAAACAAATAAAATGTACACGCAGACGTAGGAAAATCCTCGCACTCCCTCCCAAGTCAGGACAAATGAAATTAATCTTCTGATGATTTTTCTAGGGTTCCAAGGATTGAGAAAAGTATGGGTTCTTGGAGGATTGGAGTGAGTGAATCTTCCCCTCCGCCTCTTCGCCTCATCTGGCAAAGCATCGTCCCATTTAGCTCTGTTGCTCACAATTACCAGAAAAATATTCGAAACCTAAAACCCTCAAATCAGCAAAGCGAATTCCCACACTTAAACTTCGAAACCAACAAATCGATTTCAAGTGTTAAGCGGCTAGGTTCTAGGTCTTCTAATTCCGGCGAGCTGTTTTCTTACGAACGCCAGCAAACCGTACCGTTCGTCGTCTTGCCTTCGTCTTCCAGTTTCGAAATTCCAATTTAAGGTACGAGGGGTTTCAAATTTATTTATACAATATTTTTAGCAAACCAAGTGAGCTATCCATCGTTGAAGCAGAGTGGGTAGGATCTGTTGCTCCCTTCTCAAATTGTAATCACCGCCAATTTTCCCACTTTTACAAATTTATTTATACGAGAATTTTTTTAATTTTTGTCTCCTTTTTCTCTGTTTAGCGGTCGATGAAAGCAGAGTGGGTAAGATCAGTTGCTCTGCAGCCTCAACCTCCAAACGCTACCCCATCACTTTGCTTCCCGGCGATGGCATTGGCCTCAACCTCGCCCCCTCCATCGATGGTTTCTTTTAATTCTGCTTCCGTTTTCTTCCTTTTCTCAATTTTATTTCAGGTGCCTGAGAAACGGTGGGAAAATTAAAAGGAAAAGTCTTTTAATTTTCCCATATTTTCTTTGGGTTAATGTTTAACAATTTGAGCTGCTCTGTGTGTTGTATAATCGAGAAATTTTGTTGGGAAATTAGTAATTATATAACATTTGGATATTTGTATAACTGAATATGTTTACATAAACTAGAGATTGATTTTAAGTATGAAGAAGTACCTATTGGCTTAGATTTGACTGGAGTGCCATTACCTGATGAGACCCTTTTGTCAGCTAAGCAATTATTCTTCTCGAAGCAGTTGGGGGTAGGTCATGATTGTACTTCTCAATCCGTTTTATTTCTTAATGATTATCCTTTTCAAGTGATATAATTTAGTTAATTCGATTATGGTTTTTGTTTCAAATTTTGGCTTCTAATGAATGAAGCGAATTGTTCTCAAAATTTCAAGTTTTTCATGAATATGTTGCATTTCTTTAAAGCATGATTTGATTTTTTATTGTAATTTCAACATTTTGGATCTCTGTATGCCTTTTTATTATATTATTGCTCATTGGATCGGATTGATTTGGTGTGCAGAATTTGAAATTTGTTGAGGGGGCCTAATGTTACCATTGATGAAGTCTGTGCTTTTGGAAGGTAAGTAGTGATATTTAATTATTGTTTATTGCATTTTGTCAAATTTTATGGGAAATTTTCTGAATTAGGTGTGTGCTTGATCCGAAAAAGTCTCAGAACATTGCAATTCTTGCTTATTGCATTGTGTCCAATTTGGAAGGTAAGTTGTGATTCTGTAAGGATGTATTGAAGGACCATTTGTTTAGTTCGTTAGTGGAATTTCGTTATTTATGTATTTCCGATATACTTGGTACATTGATAATTAAGGTTGAAATGTCATAAGGTTCCCTTGGTTTATGATTGACAAATAAGAAGGAATTGAAGAAGTGGGTTTAGCCTTTTAGGTTAGTGGGGAGAACGGTTACAGAATTGTACTTGTTGTTATTGCAGGGAAATGAAACATAATTGCCGCTTCTGCAAAATTATTGAGTGGTAGCAATTTGCAGATTCCCTATTCAATTGAAGTAATTTGTTTCCAATTTTATTTGTCTTCCTGTAATTTTCTGAAAAAAGGGATTGTTTTGTGGCAAAAAGCAAGGCTATGCTCCCATTGCTTCAAGACTTGAAGTTTTCTATATTCCCTGGCTTTATCTTCGAATTCAGGTATTTTGTTATTTGATTGCGTTGTATTTCTTGATTTGAATGAAATGGATGCATCTAGTCCCGCAATTAAACATGAATTCCATGGAGTCCCGTAAACTTAATCATAATTGGTAATTTTGATTAATTTTTTAAAATTTTGACTCATCAAAACAGTTTCAATATACTTATTGTAAGTGCTATGGATAGTTGGTTTGATGTAGTTTATCGCTACTCCAATGACTACAAAACACTCAAGTAACATGTACAAATTTCTTCTGATTTCACAATTTCCATGAATAATTCATGCCTTTTGTTATGTTTACTTGATTTCTAGTATCATCATGTTACTCGTCAAATTGTTAATTCTGTGTTTTTCCACATCTAATTTCTAAAAATGATTTCCATCCGTTCAGAAATAAAAAAATAAAAATAAATAAATGATTTCCATTTTGCACAAAATAAAATATAAGTTTCCCGAATGAGATTGTAAATTTGGCTAACTTGGAGGTTTTGGGGATGCTGAGAACCAATTATCAGGTCACATTCCCCCGGGTGTAGGAAAGGTTCACAAGTTATATCTATTAAATGCGAGTAGGAACTCTCTCTCTTTGGCAATCTTACATCCTCTTTCGGAAATTTAAGTCAATTAAATGAGTTAAGCTTAGAAGGCAACAACTTCCAAGCAATATCCTGCCAAGTTTAATAGTGTGTCAGAATTTGAGGCTTTTATATCTTGGTGAGAACAGTTTTAGTGGTATCATATCGCAAGAAATCATTGATCTGTTGAACTTGTATATATTTAGTTTACCTCAAGATCATTTTCTCGGCTCCCTACCAGAGGAAGTAGGAATTTTAATAAATCTTGCGTATATAGATATCTTTGAAAACATGTTATTCAGTGAAATTCCAGCAGGTGTAGTTAGTTGTATTTTTGGAATCTCTGAATCTATCTTATAACAATTTTGAGGGCATGTTGCCGATCAAGGGAGTGTTCAAGAATGCAATGGCGACATCAGTTGAAGGAAATAGCAAGCTTTCTGGGGGCATATCTGAGTTTCATTTGCCAAAGTGCAACTCTCCAGCGTCCAAAAAAAGGAAGGATTGAGCTTAACCATGAAATTGGTTCTCTCTCTCATTTGTGGGATTTTTGGAGTTATTTTTGCACTAACCTTTTTGTACCCTTATTGCTCACGGAGAGATAAAAAAGATCTCACTTAAAGTGATTTAGACAAACTTCCCCAGATGTATCATACCAAAGTCTTCTAAGAGGAACAAATGGATTCTCCTCAACCAACTTGGTCGGTATGGGCAGTTTTGGGTCCGTTTATAAGGGAATACTTGAGCAAAGTTAAACTACAATTGCGATCAAGGTACTCAACCATGTTCATTTAGCAGGGCTTACAAAAGTTTTATTTATGAGTGCGAGGCTTTCCGAAATATTGGACACCGTAATCTTGTCAAGATAGTCTCAGCATGTTCTGGTTTTGATTATCGCGGTCACGACTTCAAGGCCTTAATTTATGAGTTCATGGCTAACGGGAGCTTGGAGGAATGGCTATATCCAATTCATACAATTGGTGAGACAAATGACAGGCCAAGGACCTTAACAATTTCTCAAAGTTTGAATATTGTTTTTGATGTTGCTATGGCATTGGATTATCTCCATCGTCATTGTGAGACGCCAATAGTTCATTGCAACCTCAAACCTAGCAATATTCTTCTCAATGAGGATATGATTGCACATGTAGGTGACTTTGGGTTGGTGAGGTTCCTACCAAAAGTTGTTGAAACACTACGAAAAATATGGGATTTGGTGTACACAAATGAAGAGTTTGTGTCTTTGAGAACACTAATATGGTGGAACAATGTCCATTCAATAAAGGATACAATGTATTGTACTCAGTGTAAAAAGAAATGGACACAAACACATTATTGGGCACGAAGCCATGCCAAGTAGTGCATATATATATATATATAATTATTGGTCTGACAATTGTATGACAAAATATAGGCACAAAAACTTTTAGTGTCTATAAATAGACAGTAGCTCACAATTTGTTTGCGTCTGTGGAACATGCGAACATCTTTTTGCTGAATTGTGATGATTCCATTTCTACTACTTGATCCTTCTTACAGCTGAGACATTGGATTTTGTTGTGTGTTCCATCTTGATTTTATGAAATTTTCTCATTTATTTCAAATTTTTACATTTTCATTTTCAAAATATAACCTATTGGGCACAATAACAAAAATTGGGCTAATATGGATGGGGAAAGTCATCTGATAACTTTTTCAGAACAGAGGCACAAAATTTTTTTATTTGTGCTTACCACTTTGAGCACAAAACACCATATTGTACTCTATGATCAAAGGACACACCCATAAAAGCACATATAAATACCGAGTTACAAACCATAAGTGTTCTCACACCGGCGACTTAAGTATTTTGCAACAATGGCAGACGATCGATACTCGACAGCTGACCTACACAAAGTCTATAATGAGATTTTACTGAAGGCTTTTAGTGATGAAATGAGTAATCTCGAACCATTGATTGAGTGAGTTGAAAGAAATTCCAAAGTTGTTAATTGCACTTAAAAAAAAAAAAAATTCATTACGGACTACTTTAAGTGCTATTTCTTCGTATATTTAAACTCATCATTAGTGTTGGAAAATAACAGATATTGGATACACAAACTAGTGCTTGACTGATGCCAAGTCCCGTAGGACTTCTGAGTAAGCAATTTGGTAGGCTTGTAATAATTGGCAATGGAAAGCTATCTATGGGTTCGGATCTCTCTCACCAAATCCAGTGATCCGGGCCCTTGAAATTTGATCAAACAGCTAAAAACAGGAGCCCCTTTAAAAGTTATAATAACTTTAGCTGTTGGATCAAATTTTAAGGGTCCGGTTCACTAAAGTTTGGTGGACAGAGATCCGGAGAGGATCTCTTTCCCCATCTATGCATCCATTTTCCAACACTGAGAGACCATCAATAATTGACTGGACTAAATTATGCAGAAGAAATTTTCCAACACTAGCTAAAGTATTTGTAGGCCAGTGCTATGTATATTCCAAAAAGCAAGTTGAAAGCTGAAAACAGATGCATTTTAGCCAAACTAGTTCATCTGAAAATGATGATTTCATTTAATTTCTTGGGTTTTACATCATGATTTGATATAGCTTCTCATAGGTCAAGTATTACTGGCCTACTTTGCAAATTAATTAGTTGTGTAAGTCTTGATTACACGTTCAAAGCATGAATTCAAATCAACAATCTAATTTCACCACTACTTTAAATGGGGAATCGAACACGATTTATAACAGTGCCTCTTTGCCACCATCTATTGGCAATAAAATTTGACAATCCTTAGAAGAGAGATTTTTCCATGTACTTATAACACAAATCAGTACATTACAGGTCATAATAGAAGCAGGAAGAAGGTTTTTTTTGAAGTATTCCTCTATTTATATTATGACATGTGATGTACCGGTTCATATTTTGTGTACACTAAAATATACATACGGATTAGGTTGGCGTGACCAAATATAGAGGGCTATGTTTGTGTGAAAGAGTATGCACTATTGCTCCAACTCTTGGAAACCTTTGCTGACCGTCATGTCAACTGACACATACTCCAAGTCTTTTGCCAACGTTCACTTTCAATGGTTCTGTTAGTGTTGGGCAATTCAACCATGCGTCAATGATTACGATAGTCTTAGGTGTGGATCCACCATCCAGCATGTTGTTCTGCGTGAGTCAACTTCCCTATTTATTATAGCTTTGTAATTTGGGGATTTCGTGTACCTAGATATGCTTATACTTGTACTTGACAGAAGAATACAACACAAAAATACAAACCCAAAAACTCTCATCAAGTTTTATACTTTTTAGTCGTCTGATTTTGATCCTCATTGGCCTCTTCGTAAGCAATGGTGTATTTGTTTTGAACACATTCACAAAAATGAAAACTAACAAAAAGTCTAAAAATATTTTAGTTTTAATGAAAAATGACAAATAAAGGTATAGTGAATAGTACCAGGGAAAGGTAAAAACATGATTTTTCGTTAAAAGTGAACAGTACCGGGAGTGTTTCATTTTTGACTTACTACGCATCTCACATCTATCACGAACGAAATTTTGTTGTGGACAATTTTGCTAATATGGGCTTGTCTTCTCCAACTTTAACTTCGGAAAATGATAAAGTGTAACTTCTTTATCGTTATCAATAAAATTTCCCTCGTACAGTCAAAAAAGAAAAAAAGTTTTACACTTTTATCTTGGTATCAGATTGGTCATTGTAACTCTTTCTATGCAGAATTATCAACAATTATTATTGGTGTAGAGTTTGCATATCAGCAGGGATGGCATTGTCTTTGGTTGGAAAGTGACTGTTCTAGTGTTATTTTTGCTTTCCAATCGACTGCTTTTGACCCTCCTTGGCCTCTTCGTACGCAATGGTCTATTTGTTTAGATCGCATTCGAAAGATGACTTTCTACACCTCTCACATATATTTCGAAGGGAATGTTGTTGCATACAACTTTGCTATAGGTTCGTCTTCTCCAACTTTGGTATGGCATGATTCCCCTCTGCTGGTGGCTCGTGCTGCTTTGTTTTCAGACTATGCTGGCTTTACTGGCTTCCGCTTCTCAAATGAATGTGCATCTTGACATATAGGTTTGTCTCACTTTCTTATTTTATTTTCTTAACCTGTGATCTAACTTAATTTGTTTTACAGGTTTAGACTTTTAGGTTTGGCTATGGTTTCAGGCCCCCCCTTCCCTTTTTTTCCTTGTATCATTATTGTTTTCGTTTCTAGAAGGGTAAAATATTATGTCCTCCTTCCTTTTCATGTGTTTTCAATCTTTTTTTTTTTCTTCTTGTATTATGAAGGGTTAGGTTTACATCTATCTTGACTAGGTGGAACTTTTTTTATTATCAATAAAATTTCACTCGTACAATCAAGGTTTTCTATATAAAAAAAAAATTAAAAAAAAAAAGAAAAAAAAGGGTCACGGCTTGTCTCTTTTCCGGAAAAAAAAAAGAAAAAAAAGAAAAAACCTAAACCCAAAAAACTATTCATGTCATGTAGCTTCCTTGGATGTCATTGCCCTACACTTCGTTGATTGTCTTGTGTTTTGGACAATCATTAATCCTACACAGAACCAAAATTTACCCAGTGCCTCTTCGTGATTTTTAAGTAGCACAATAATCCTAATTCTTGTCGTGCGGCTTGTTCTTGGCAATCGACATTGAAAATCTTAAACCTAAGCCTACTGCAACCATGGGAGAGAAGATAATATTGTCTTTTTTTGATCAAGTATCTCTCTCTGTTGATCGAGATAATTCAAGAAATTCGGGAAATGTCTAAATTGCTTCTAGAGATCGTGACCACATGCCGCATGATGAGTCTTTCTTTCATCCATGATTCATCCTCCAACAGAGAGTGTTGTCACTGCCAATGGAAATATTATCTCGAATCAGAGGCTGATCCAATTGCACTCACCTCATCTTTATCCTTACACAATACCTTGCTTCTTCCGGAATTATCAAATCATCTTTTATCAGTCAGTCAAATTATCGATCAATTGGGTTATATCGTACTAATGTTTCTATTTTTTTGCTTACTTCCGGATATCCAAACTAGGGTTGTAATTAGGCATGGTACTAAGAGAAAGGGGTTGTATTATGTCGACGATGTGGCTCCTAGGCTCCTAGCAGAGTAAATCAGGTACGTAGTGGGAATGGTGACAAGATTAAGAAGATTTAGTTAAGGCATCAGCGACTTGGGCATGCCTTGTTTGGCTATTTATGGAAGTTGGTTATTTTATTATTTACTAGTATTTCAGACTCTGATAGCAGTCTACGTGTCATTCTTTCCCTATACGAGTTGCTGAAAGAAACAAAACGAATTAAATTTCTGATGGTTCAGTTGGATGTTTTTCAACCACCATGGGGTGACCCAGTGGTTGGGGATGAATTTTAGACCCGTATTCCACACGACATGTCTTGGGTTCGATTCCTAACGCTGGTGAATCGCACGATGGTGGCCAGGGGGAGGCTGAAATGCCTATGTGAGTCTTCCCTACCCCCGGAAGAATGGATTGTCGTGGCAAAGTCACTAGCTGGTCCCCTTTTATTAAAAAAAACAGTTGGATCTTTTTCTAATGACTCATAGTGGTTAGATGCGGCTAGAGAACAGGAAGTGGCTCTGATCACTTCATTAGTACCAATCCTAAGACCAAATGCTATCTCAAAAAAGTACGTAGAAAGTTTTGAATGCTAACCTCGGGACCCTTAGCTTCATCTTACCCCTTTAGACAATACGGCTTTCGTGAGTAATACGGCTTGCTATAATCTTGCGACTCTCTTTGTTTCCTTTTTTTTTTTTTTTCTAAAGAATCTCGGCATTTTATTATAAGGAGTACACAATGAGATTTTGTAGTACTAATAAAAAAAGTTTTTTTTTTTAATATAAATATTAAAGTCCTTTCAAATAAATTTGAAACCATGTACAATTGCACCTTTTGGTCCCCCAAAGCCGCCTCTGCCGCAGTGGTTGTTTGATCTCAGCCTTGCCCATACCTAAATTCCCATTACCTATTCTTTTGTGTATATCCTCAATCCATTCACAAGACGCAAGCCCGCACCCAATCTGGAACTAGAGGAGTGAGGACGAACATTATTTGTTGGCATAAACAAATGACACAATAATGCACCAAAATTAGGAATTGTCATTGTACAATACCAAAGCTAACTATTGTTTTATTGGCATACTATCGATATGAACAGGAACGAGCAATTTTTTATGTATTCGAACACGACCATATGGTGTTATTATTTCACTCAACTTATAACTCGTGAATTTGTTTTTTTGTTTTTTTTTATCAATATACATAAGAAGTAAGATATATCAACCTTGTCGTCCACCTTTATTATAACACGTAGAATAATACGCCACCTAACTTGTATTTTTAGTACCCATAAAAATTTCTCAACAAGAACAACACATTCATCAAGTTAGTCGTTGTGTCATACAAAACTAATATCTCTCTTTTTTCATTTGTTTTAAGTTAAAGAATGAATACAATAATTTCAAAAAAGTGATAATTCCTAATATTAGGTTCACAAAATTAGATTTATATTGAATTGATTCAAAAAATTAAGAGAAAAAGAAATATTTTTTTGTCAGGACATCCCTCATCGAGTACGATAGCGATTGGGGTGGCTGATCCACTACGCACAGAGCACTCTGATTATGATTATAAATTGGATGCTGCTAAAGCTGCTAGACAAACAATCAATACAGCTCAACCTTTTTACAACTCAATTTCTACTTTCGCACAAAACAAATATCATCATCATGGGGATGGGGTTTTACAACTCCATTTCTGCAGTGTTTTTGTCATCCTTTTTTATGCATGCCTTCATTCTTCACTCTTGCCTTCCTTGTTTAGCCCTTCCGGGAAATGAGACAGATAGACTCGCTTTGCTTGAAATCAAAGCTAGCATAACTCATGACCCTTTTGAAGTCCTGACTTCATGGAATGAAACCATCCACTTTTGCTCTTGGCATGGCGTTACATGTGGTCGTCGTCATAAGAGGGTCACAAGGTTGAGCCTGCGGTCCTTCAAACTTGCAGGATCTATATCGCCGCATATTGGGAACTTGAGTTTTTTGAGAGTCATTGATCTCCAGAACAACAGCTTAGGCCATGAAATTCCTCCAGAATTCAGCCGCCTGCACAGACTGCAAGACCTACAGTTAAACAACAATTCACTGAGTGGAGAAATTCCTACCAACTTGTCGTGTTGCTGTCAGCTCCTCAGGCTCGCTGTTGGTTTCAACGTCCTGATGGGAAAAATTCCAAATGAGCTTGGCCTCTTGTCAAAGTTAAGAGTTTTTTCCATCCACTCTAACCACTTTACAGGGGGAGTCCCTACTTCTTTTAGCAATTTATCATATCTTGAAAAGTTCTCCGCATCTTATAATAATTTGAGTGGCACTGTCCCGGATATTTTTGGCCGAATGACCAATCTTAGCTTTCTTGCTTTTGATGTAAATAGCTTTTCGGGTATGCTTCCTCCCTCAATCTTTAATCTCTCTTCTCTCACAGTCCTTGCTATGGTATCCAACGAAATCCAAGGGAGTCTACCCTCAAACTTAGGTATGGTCTTTCCGAGTCTCCAAATATTTTCTATTTCCAATAACCAATTCAGTGGATCTATTCCTGTTTCATTATCAAATGCCTCAAATCTATTTAGATTGGGGATCGGAGGTAACCACCTACATGGAAAAGTCCCTCCATTGACGAATTTGCATAAGCTTGAGTGGTTAATCCTTGCTGACAACCATCTCGGAAGTGGGGGAATTGATGACTTGACCTTTCTCTGCGATTTGACCAACGCCACCCATTTAGAAATTCTCCAAATGTTTACCAACAATTTTTCGGGCACGTTACCTCAGTGCATAGGAAACCTGTCTTCTTCTCTTCAAATCTTCATTATAGCTCAAAATAAAATATTAGGAAGTATCCCGAATGAGATTGTAAATCTGGCTAACTTAGAGCTTTTGGGGATGGACGAGAACCAAATTTCAGGTCACATTCCCCCTGGTCTGGGAAAGCTGCACAAGTTATATGAATTAGCTTTTAATGGGAACTCTCTCTCTGGCAATCTTCCATCCTCTTTCAGAAATTTAAGTCAATTAAATGTGTTAAGCTTAGCAGGCAACAAACTTCAAGGCAATATCCCGCCGAGTTTAGCAGAGTGTCAGAATTTGAGGATCTTACATCTTGGTGCCAACAATTTCAGCGGTATCATATCGCAAGAAATCTTTGGTCTGCTGAACTTGTATGATTTGAGTTTAGGACAAAATCAGTTTATAGGCTCCCTGCCAGAGAACATAGGAATTTTAATAAATCTAGAGTATTTAGATATCTCTGATAACATGTTATTCGGTAAAATTCCGGCTAGTCTTGTTAGTTGTATAAAATTAGAGTACCTAGACATGCATGGAAATTTCTTCAATGGGACAATTCCATCAACTTTGAGTTCACTAAGAGGTCTTTCAAAATTGTATCTTTCTCACAACAACTTGTCAGGCACCATTCCAGAATTCTTAGAAGGTTTTGTATTTTTGGAATCTCTGAATCTATCTTATAACAATTTTGAGGGCATGTTGCCGATCAAAGGAGTGTTCAAGAATGCAACGGCGACATCAGTTGAAGGAAATAGCAAGCTTTGTGGGGGCATACCTGAGTTTCATTTGCCAAAGTGCAAACTCCAGCATGCAAAAAAGAAAGGATTGAGCTTAACCATGAAATTGGTTCTCTCCCTCGTTTGTGGGATTCTTGGAGTCATTTTTGCACTAACCTTTTTGTACCTTTATTGCTCAGGGAGGGACAAAAAGGGTCAAGCTGCAACTGATTCGGACAAATTTCCCCAGGTGTCTTACCAAAGTCTTCTAAAGGCAACAAATGGATTCTCCTCAACCAACTTGGTCGGTATGGGCAGTTTTGGGTCCGTTTATAAAGGATTACTTGAGCAAGGTGAAACTCCAGTTGCCATCAAGGTACTCAACCTCGTTCGTCGCGGAGCTTACAAAAGTTTTATTGCTGAGTGCAAGGCTTTCAAAAATATTAGACACCGTAATCTTATCAAGGTACTCTCGGCATGTTCTGGTTTTGATTATCGCGGTCACAACTTCAAGGCCTTAATTTATGAGTTCATGGTTAACGGGAGCTTGGAGGAATGGCTGTATCCAATTCATACAATTGGTGAGAGAAATGAGAGGCCAAGGAGCTTAAAAATTTCTCAGAGGTTGAATATTGTTATTGATGTTGCTATGGCATTGGATTATCTCCATCATCATTGTGAGACGCCAATAGTTCATTGCGACCTCAAACCCAACAATATTCTTCTCAATGAGGACATGGTTGCACATGTAGGTGACTTCGGCTTGGTGAGGTTCCTACCAAAAGCTGCTGAAAATTCGTCGGGAAATCAATCAAGTTCTTTAGGGATCAAGGGAACCATTGGTTATGCTCCTCCAGGTATTTACACTTGGTAGTTTATTTTTTCCTAGCTAGTATTTTAAAATTGTGCAGTATTTAATTTAAAATTTTCAAACATAAAATGAGCTTTCAGCACGTCACTAGAAAATTAGAATCTAATGTTCTGAATTGTGGAATGCAGAATATGGCATGGGTCATGAAGTGTGGACACAAGGTGATGTGTACAGCTTTGGCATCCTCCTGTTGGAAATATTTACAGGAAAAAGACCGACCGATGACATGTTTCAAGGAACTTCAAACCTTTATAGCTTTGTGAAGGCAGCTCTGCCTGAGCAAGTGGAAGAGGTTTTGGATCCCGTTCTTGTTCAAGAAAGCAATCATCCTAATGCGGGGAAGGCAAGGAATCGCATCCTAATCATAGAAAGTTTAATCTTTGTTTTAGAAATTGGTGTTGCTTGCTCAGCGGAGTTGCCTAGAGAAAGATTGAACATCTATGATGCTGTGGCACATATGTGTCGGATTAGAAACAAACTTCGAGCAAATGGTATATGTGAATAGAAGCTTATCGTTAATATGTGGTATAGCATGTAATAGTATTGATGTTATGTGAACGCGTTCTCATATTTGTTAGATAAAAATATGCAGTACATATGGCTAGTTGATCAATGCTTGCCAAACAAACTTATTTGCATCGAATTATACTTGAACAATGACATTCTAGCTTTGCCAAAGATTACAGGACGAACACTTTGAAAGAATTAAAATTAAAAATTAAAAAACAAAGTTGTGGAAAGTATTCATCAAATGTCAAACCTATGTTGGAATTCCTGCTCTATGTTGAGAGGTTTATCCTTGGTTGAAAATGGGAAGCGTTCCATTGTAGTTTATTAGTAATAAAAAATAAATCATACTTAGTCAGGAAGACATAATCCTAACTCCTCGTAATACAAGAAAAAAGAATAAAAAATACATTAAAAAGAAGGGCTATATAAACCTTACTCTTCTATAAACGAAAGAATAAAGATACAAATATGCATTCATCATTCATCCATTCATCAACATTTATTTGAGCATTCATCATCTACACGAATGTAGAAAAGAATTTGAGGCTGAGTTCAGTCATACATACAATGGCTACAAACAAGAACTCACTTTAAAAGTTATAATAACTTCAGTCATTAGATCAAATTTCAATATCACGGATTTTCTGATTTGGTGGATTAGGAGGATCCCTTTCCGATCCAGGCAAAACAGAGGTGGACATTCATCAAAGCCATGTCTCCGATCCAGTATCTGCACAGTTTTTGCTCAATATTTGTCACATGGAGGCACGCAAGCACACAGAAAATTACATGAGCATTCACGAAATTTTAGGTCTATGAATGCATGACAGAAACATTTCACAAATCCGTATGACTTTCAGAGATATTAAACCATGCTTAATTTTAACGCAGTGGAGGGATTTGATTTACCTTTCATTTTGTAGATCCGAGTTCTTACAGCCATCTTTGCTGTGTGTACAGCAGCTCCATGTGTGAGCCATTGATCCTTGCGGCTCCTATTCCCCTTGGCCTTACTCGGATCCCCAAGTCTACATACAGAAAACATACAGAGTCAGAATTTCGTTTTCATTTGACCTTCGGTCATGAAAACGAAAGGGAGAAATGGTTGGATGCATTTTTATTTCAGATATCGCCAAGTGGAGACCATAATCGCAGAGAGAATGAGAGCTCTTTACCTCGGGTTTTGCAGAGGAATGCACGATGGTGACAATCTGGGCTAGAATCACAGATCGCCATGGCTGGGTTCCGTTTTTGACAGAGATGGAGATGGAGATGGATTCATGTTTTGACGTTCTGGGCTGAAGACAGAAGCTAGGGTTTCAGTTCCATGAGAAATGAAGAGAGAGAGGAAATGAAGGATATAGCTTTCACGGCTCTGGGCTAGTGGGTAGTGAGAGAGCGAGGTTATCAAACGGCGCTAGTTAGGAGGGATGCGGAAATGCTTCCTGTCACGGGTTCAACTCTCCAGAGCACTGAAATTTTGCTTCTTTTTCCAATATTTTCCAGCGCCTCTGTTTCTTTCTTGTCACCAGGTCACCCCTTCGAATCCCAGGTGTGTCAGTTTCCCTGTCTTTTCTTTTATTTCTGTTCCTGTTTCCTTTGTTATTTTATTTTTTCTTTTATTGTTTCTTTCTTTTATTTTCTATTTCTATTTTCCTAGTTTATTTTCCTTGTCTTTGTTAGCTATTTTTCAATTTTTAAGGATTTAATATTTTTGTTTTCTCTCTTTATTTTTTTCACATCTTCAGGACAATGTATGATTTAAGTTTGGGATGGGAAAATAAAATTTTTAGATTTTTAATTTTTAAGTGTGCTAAAATTTTTCATTCTTTTTAAGTTATTATTCATAGATTATTTTAAACATTTGAATAAATGGACATGGTGGAGATTAATCTCACAGTAGAGACTTTTCTATTTATTGTTGTTTAGGCACTAATTCATGAGTTATCCTTTAACAATTAGCACATTCACACGAACATGATTTGTGGGGGTGAGATTGAAGCACGTGCTTTTCGTCTGAGTTATTTTTATTTATTTTTTTATTTTTTTGTTCTAAAAAAAAGTAAAGTAAAGTTATTGTTATAAATAAAGTAATAATTGTTCCACCCAAGACTTTGCTTAGTAACCGAGCCAGTTGTCACATCCCAAGCTCGACTCCATTGTAGCACGATATTGTTCATTTTGGGCCATGACCACGCCCTCATGATTTTGTTTCTAGGAACTCACACGAGAACTTCCCAGTGGGTCACCCATCCTGGGATTGCTCTCGCGCGAACTCATTTAACTTCGGAGTTCCTACGGAATCCGAAGCCAGTGAGCTCCCAAAAGGCCTCTTGCAAGGTAGAGATGGGAATATACATATAAGGCTTACAGGATTCTCTCCCCTAGGCGATGTGGGATGTTACAATCCACCCCCCTTAGGGGCCCGACGTCCTTGTCGACACACATCTGGCCACGAATTGGCTCTAATACCAAATTGTCACATCTAGCCTAGGCCTCCACCACATCCCGGGCTTGACTCCACTGTGGCACGAAATTATCTGCTTTGGGCCCCGACCATGCCCTCACGATTTTGTTTCTGGGAACTCACACGAGAACTTCCCAGTAAGTCACCCATTCTGGGATTGCTCTTGCGCAAACTCTCTTAACTTCTTAGTTCCTACGAAATTCGAAGCCAATGAGCTCCAAAAAGGCATCGTGCTAGATAGAGATGAGAATATACATATAAGGCTTACAGGATCCACTCCCTTGGGCGATGTGGGATGTTACACCAGTCCTGCCTGATCAGCAGTTATTCTCGCGTCAAACAGTAGAGTCTTAGCATGGGAAAATGGTTAGTTGGTCTCGTAGCTTTTTCAACTCGAGTTAGTAAGTTCTTAGGGGTGTTCTACACCTAGTGCCCTAAAGCCCTTATGGTTTGGGAGTCATTGACCAAAAAGTCATTGCATGGGTTGGATCAAAAGCTTAAGTGAACAAACATTGCACATCCACTACTATTACTATAAAAAAAATTAAAAATAGAAAAGAAAAAAAAATAGTTATGTTTGAAGTTAGTAAGTATTAAATTAAAATGACGAGTGGTAAGGGTTTTAGTCAAGTCTCTTTAACCATGTTGGTTCACTTTACACCAAAAGAAGTTCATGAGTTCTTTTCTAATGAATTCTAAATGACTTAGACTCTGTGGTGATATTGGTTGGAATTTTTGAAAAGATGTTATAATATTAAGACTTCAATACGTATAGTTTTCAAAATATACATACTACGTATAATATGAAATACTTACCGTAGCCTGCAATATCTCAAGACTTCAATATGTCACAAATTTGTAAATAAGCATATAACTTCTAGTAATCACAATATCTTGCAGAAATAAATAAATCATATCGAGTGCTCATCGACACTTGCTGACACATGAGTTCATGCAGAGGTATTCTGACATGAACACGACTAAGTGTAATAATAATTTACGCTATAGTACTACAATCACTTGAAAACTAGCGCTATGCGCATCACATATAAGTCCTAATTGCCTATAGCAAACTAGGACAGGACTGGCACCTATAATGGAGCCAAATGTGAGCGTACAATATGATGTGAACATACATGTGAAAGACTGGCCTTGGCCTAGGTGAGTACTAACATCAGTGCAGCACACGATGAGCAAATAACGCAAATATGATCATGCAATGGTAAATCGATAATTCGATAATTCAATAACCCTAGTCAATGAAATACTAATCATAACCGTAAATATCATTAAAGCATCCATACTAATACACATACATGTGCATCCCGTAGGACGTAGTATAATTGCATGATTTCCGTCAATACGGTAATTTTATATACGTTACCCTAATATAGGTGTAACGTAGAAAATTCTTTATCAAATATATAAATGGAAACTAATAAATACACACACACACACACACACACACACTATATATATATATAAAAGAAAAAACCCACTTATAGATAATCGCGTACACAGCCGTTCGAACTAGGAAAGTTGAAGTCTCCGATAGTAATTGCACTTAAGCATAATATTGAGACTCGTTAGTAAAACTTGATTAAAACTTTTGAATTTGGGAAAACGGAGCAGATTTGTAATCTAAGTGTCAAAATACACTAAGAGGGGTCCCGGGCAAAATTTCTAAAAAGTCAACGATCAACCCTAAAATGTCAACCGAGATGCTCCAGTGGTTAACTACATTAAAACTTTAGAATTTCACTAATGGATGCCAAAAATGGACTCAGGGCGTCGAAATTAGCCTATGAGGGGTTTTTGAGAAAATTCTGAAAAAAAAAGTCAACAACAGTTAACTTTAACATAATATTCTTTCCTCAGAATGAATATTTATAAGTGGTTCCGGATCGGTCTTATGGATCCGGGTGTGGATTTTTTTTTTTTCTTTTTCTCTAGCCAGTTGTCATTGCAATCGCCGAAATCTGGGAATCTTGGCTTGGAAACTTTCCTGGCTCCACCTAGCTTCGAACTCAATTAAACTAGCAATCTATATACTAATTTGAAGCTCGAAATGAGAGGAAGAGAAATATACCAACATGGGGTCCTGACGTGGCCGGAATTAGCCGAAAACGGCTCGAAGCTGCCGGATCTTTGGCCCAAAAACTGGGGAAAAATCTTCCCAGTGTGTGTTCTGCATCAATCATCCCCCAAACTCATTTTAAGGTTAAAACAACATAAGTGCTTCAAAATAAGAATGATATGAGGGTCTCGAGGCTCACCATGGTCGGAGAAATGAGTGAACAGTGATAAAGTCACTATGCGGTTCCATTTTCCACTTGGGCATTTTGAGCAAACTGGGTACAAAAGTGGTGGTCTTCTGTGAGGTTGATGGTGATGATATGGTGGAGATTTTGTCGTGAGGTTCGCCAGAGTACGGCGAGGTAGTGGTGCTGCTGCTCGGCTCCATTGTTTTTACAAAGATAATAGAGGGATAGTTTGAGGGAAAGAGAGATGAGAGATAGGAGGGTAAGAGGGAAAGAGGTGAGGTGGCAGCCAGAGAGTGGAGAAGTGAGGTGAGGGAGATTTGAAAAAAATTGAGAGATAGTCCCGAGAGATAGGAGACACGGGAAAGAGGTGGACGAATGGGGTGTGGGCCCCATTAGCTCACAAAACAAAGCCACAAAAGAAAAACAAAAAATATATCTCGTAACGTGAATTTACCAAAACGCCCTTCATGCTCCGAAATTTGTAAATCTTTCTCGTAATTCCGAATTCAGTTCTGCTTACACCTACGCGTTCGTACTGTCGAGTACTTCAAGGGTACGCTAAAAGAATATTTCGTATGTCTCACTATGCACTGGTAAACGAAAGTCAACTATCTCACCTCTAGGGCACTTTTGTCAAATCACTCTTTTTAAAGTTATAAAATCATAAAATTAAGGACGGGTTGTCACAATCTACCCACCTTAAAAAAAATTTATCCCCGAAATTTGAAATAAGTTGCTATACAAAATACTCAAAGATCAATAGAAAATACATAAAGAAGAAATCAAGCTAGAGTGGTTGCATAAAAGAGAATGTCATTCTGTCGCGATCGATGTGCAATGATTCCTCTTTTATGCCTCCAAACTCATACTTTCCTTCTCCTTGAGCACAATATTATAATATAATAATTTCATAAAAACATAAGGCCAAATACATACATACATACATACATACATACATATATATATATATAATAACATAACGTCAATATATATATACAATAATGTAGATTTAAAATAGTTGTACTGAAATCAAAATTAAACATAGAAAGATTTCATCTACGCACTCGTAGTGTCATGTACTTCGAAGATATGTGTGCAGCATCCTTGGGTCAAGCCCAAAATATAATTAAATAAATAAATAAATAAAAATATCTCCCGTGATGTGAATTTACCAAAACGCCCTTCACACTTTTAAATTTGTAAAATATTCGTCGTAATTCCGAATTCAGTTCCCTTGCGCCTACGCGTGCATACCGTCAATTACTTCAAGGATACGCAAAATGAATCTTTTGTATCTCTCACTATGCGCTAGTCAACAAAAGTCAACAATTTGACCTTTAGGGTATTTTTGTCAAATCACTCTTTTAAAATTTTTAAAATTGTAAAATTAGTGACGGGTTATCACACGATGCCCTGAGCCTTAGCATGAATATATAGTCTTTATTTAATTGCTTATGATATTATGCATGCATGTTTTGAATTATTAATTACTGTGTTTAAATTGTCTTTATGTCTTAATGATTCGCGGCCATTAGGATGTTTAGATAACTGGATGCAATTTCTATTGGATGTCATCCTGAAATTGAGGAATGCTTTCTTGTCGTTAATAATTGTAATTTCACTTAGGATGAACACCACATCTTA